TTAAGAAGTTCACTGCGCCTAAGATAATCGACTATCTTCAGAATTTTATATTTTTCACCTTTGGAGTGCCAGAAATTGTTTTAACAGACAATGGATCGCAATTTAAGTCTAGTGTTTTTGAAGCATTCCTAACTAGTTTTGGAATTACCCATAGATGTACTGCCATATATTCTCCCCAAGCCAATGCTAGTGAAAGAGTAAACAGGTCAGTTTTGGCAGCCATTCGCGCGTATATTGGTAACGACCACTCCAACTGGGATGCCAATTTAAACGCGATCAGCGGTGCACTCCGAGCGGCGTTACATAGAAGTACTGGGTTTTCCCCATACTTCCTAGCTTTTGGTCAAAACATGATTCTGAACGGAAATGACTATGGTCTTTTGCGCAAACTGAATATACTTAACGATGACGTCACCCTTGACTACCCAGATATGTTAAAGCTCGCCAGAGAAGAGGCCAAGAAAAACATAAATAAGTCATTTGAATTTAATGCCAGAAAATATAACCTTCGTAGTAGAAACATAGAACTCAAAGCCGGCGATGAAGTTTTCGCACGTAACTTTACTCAAAGCAACGCCAGTAAGAAATTCAGTTCCAAATTAGCCCCTGTTTTTATACCAGCTAAAGTCCTAAAGAAGAGGAGTCCATTTTATTATGAGTTGCTTAACGTAGACGGGAAGAAGCTTGGAGTTTATCACCTCAAAGATATTCAGACCAAAAATAAGTAGATTCCAAACAATTCAGATAATGCTCCTTCGAAGTGGTCTTGTTCCATTATCTGCGGTTGTAGTGTCCAACTTAGGTACATAAATTTACAAACATTTCGGTCTGCCCTCGCTATGAAGTTTGTCGGTAGCTGGTAGAATGACAGAGACCGCGTAGATCATCCGATACTACCGCTATGATAAAGCTTTTTGGTTCAGCATAGATTATTGGAAGTACAGACTCCAGAAAATGTTCACGTGCAATCATTCCACTTATATGCCTTGAACTATACACACTTATATTCTTTTGTCAACGGCAGTGTTTGTACTTCAAGTGAAAATTACCAAGGTTACCCACGTGGAGTTCACGTAAGCTTTAACAAAAATGAATTTAGATTAAACCACCAATTAATAGTGCGCCAAATTAAAACAGGGAACTACCAAAAACTCGAGTGAAAAATTCAGAAGGCGTAAATTTCGAAATCAACGATTCGGAGCGATCGCGGGAATCGTCCACCGTCCAGCCCCCCAGCAAAGTGGCTAATTCGATCCGAGAAAATTTGTGAACCAGCTTGGAAAACCCTCAATTTGTCTACGGCGAAGCTGCCGCCCACCGGGCATAGTCAGTGCAGACACGTGGGAATACGGATTACGCAACCGCTACAGCTTCAGTCGCCAAGAACTAGCTACCCTTCTACGCCTACGACTACACGAGATTATAGGCAATTGTAGCGATTAGCTGGATTCACCCCTATAAGGAACCCTTTCCCTGTCCCGGTCTCAAATGAAAAAAACCGGTGCAGGCTGACAAGTGCCCCAAAACGTATTGCAGCGTCATAACTGAATTCAAATACCTGCTCAAATTCATACATCTGTCTTGATTCTCGTTCCGTGGAACTCTTGTGTTAAGTTTCCACACTGCCGCAGTTTGATCAACTTCGTTGCGATTAAAATTTGTTAAAATTATAAAAGAAAACCTACTTAAAGTAGCTTATATTTGCTTATTGCCATGTATTAATATAATTTGTTTTGATTATGATTAACTACATAATTATCTATAACTAAAATCTATAAGTACAGTGAGCAATATGAATTTGGGAAGCTTGGAATATTTCTCTTTATATACATATAACTTAAATTCTTAAATATCTACGATTATACAGAGCATATACATAAACATCGGAATCATCTTGGGCCCAACGATACATCGATGCATATGATTTAAACATCTGTGAGTATTACAATACAAGAATGCAAGCTTACTTCTTGTAATACACCATTTTTATATATATATATATATATTGATTTGAAACTATATATATTCCACCACAAGCCCCAAGTAATTATCTAGTAATTGAAAACAACAAATGAAGAAAGGTATATAGGTGATTAATGTTAAATGTAAAATAATTGTTACTCTTTTGATTTGTTATTGAAATTAAAATGGAATCTCTGTACCTAATTGTGAAAATGATCATGATGGCTTAAATTATTTATATCTCTGTCGGTCGAGTACTTATGCTTATCTCACACAAACTTCAGTTGTAGAACAATAATCTGTGTATTGGGGCAACGCCTGAATTAAATAAGTTGCCATGGTTGGGTGGGTAGAGATAGGGAACAACTAACATCTTTGATCCCTTCACCGGATATAAATCTTCTCTAATCTACCAATTCATTCAAATGCGTGTCGGCGCAGCCTAGGATATTAACGTAAACTCAATATTAATTATTCTATTTTGTTTTTTTTTGTGATCAGCGCATTAAACATTGATTTGTGTTAGTAAACTTAGGTAACTGGGAGAGAAAGGACCCCGACCAATCCGACGAGCTGGACCCGAGCACCGCTAGAATGCGCACCGTCGATCCCAGTTCCTTTTTAATATTGAGTCAGAACCAACATCATGTGGCCAATGTGATAGAAAGAGTCTTATAGACTTTGGCATCGCTTCTTGTCCTAAACAGAACACTACATAACTTGATATCAACTTAGCAGAACAACTATGTTTTTTTAAAAAATAAATCTTAAATTAAGAGCGACAAAATTTTTTCTTTCACGAATAATTTACGGATAAATAACGGCAAAATCCCATTTAAAAACATTTTGGAAAAGTTAACATTTAAGGTGTTGTACTGCTAACTTGATATCAAGTTAGCAGAACATCCTATAACTTTTAAAATAGTTGAGCGGCAAAATTAATTGTTTCACGAATAATTTACGGATAAATAACGGCAAATTGTCAATAAGAAAAAAATTGCAATTTCCAAAGTTGTTCTGCTAACTTGATGCGTATAAAAATGCAAGTTAAAAATAACCTTTAATGGATGTTTATCAGGAATGTTCTAGTTTCTTATTTAATAATTTAATTTAAAGCTGTCAGAAGGTTGTATGACCCACTGTATCTTAAAAATATCGCCCACAAGCATTCCTATCATATCGAATGGGGCAAGTCACATACGTTTGTGCCACACCCACTGGATACTTTTTGGGAAACCCACGCTAGAAAGCGCCTCAAACCAGTGGAAAGTGTCAAACGATTTAAAAAGAAAGCATGAGAAATATGTAAAGAAAATATTTAAAATGCAGATTGATTCCCAATTTAATTGAATAATAAAAATAATATTGGATGTAGGTAATAAAAAAGGTTTACAAGATATTACAAGCATATGTAAATGAAATCGGGTGACCACTTTTTATGGGTGTAAAAGATATTGAGATTTCTTTCGAGCATGTGACCAACATGCTTAATGATTTTAACATTTATTCTAAATGTTATAGCTTTTTTTCTTGCCATTTAAGAACAATTTTAAACAAAGTAAGAAACTTAATGTTTGTTTATAGAAAGATTTTTATTTACAATTTTAAACATTTCAGGAAAATAAACAATAGGATGTTTGTAGTCAAAACTACCGATTTTCCAGCCAGAAAAAATGCGAATAGCTTCGGGAAAAACCGAGGCGAGGCAAGAAATACTGGCAAACATTTTTCGGGAGCTTTGTTGTCTGCCATTGCCGTCCGTTAATGAAGCTTATGAGCAGTGGCGCACAAGTCGCAACTCACTGAACTGCAACAAAAATAACAACCACAGGCACAAGTGAAGCGTTGCAGTGCGCGACAGAGAGGGCAGACTGTATGGCAGAGAGGGAGAGAACGGACCGCAAGCGGGCGGCAACAAAAGGAGAGCGCTTCGCCAGTCAATGGCTGCACCTGTAACCACCTGCCCATACCGCCCATCCCGCCCCCTCTAGACCGCTGCCCCCCTCCCCTCTCCTCCCTGCCCCCTTTCCACCAAAATGAGACAAAGCACAGTTACGCTCGGCTTTGGCGGTTGGCTCATTAATGTCTGACACGTTTGAGCGATCACCGCACTGCAGAAACTCGAAAAAGATACTGATATAAATACAAAAACACAGCCCCAAAAAAAGCGCAGAGTAAACAGCTTTTTAAGCCGCTTTTGATTAACATTAAAAACGCATTTTCAATGTAGATCTGATTCTGCATGCACTGATTTCCGAGAGGAACAGAAACGCAGAGTGGCGTAGCCAAGCAGAACGTTTATAAATATAATACAGTGGATATCAGCTATAAGAGCAAGATACATAAGATTGACAGATAAAAAACAAGATATCTCTGAAAATTATACCATTCTTGAATAAATATTTATGAAAACAACAAACTGATGCTTAAGGATTTTAGAGATTGTTTTTAGATATTTGCTTAATATGAGTTCTATAAGGTCATTTAAGCCCTGGTTCTCTTTTAGCCAGAGCTCACTGTTAAAATAACGTATTGGGCGGGAATTATAAATTCAGATATGACACGACCCAAGTAGCAAGTGCAGCGGATGTGATCCATTACGCAAGTTCAGAACGGAAAGAGCGGGTGCGATGGCTCGGGAAAGAGAGATGGATAGAGGAAGGTGGAACATGTGGTTATAACCTTTATGGGGTATTTTAATTTTGGCTTAAATTTTTGGCCCTTCTAGATTCAACTATTTATAACGATCTGGGGATTTTTTTAATTGAGTAATTTGATTCTAATTGTTATATTTCTAATTTTATTAATTAGTAGACATCAATTCGTGTTCGTTTAAAATCTTACATATTGCCATCTTAAAGTTCGCTTTGTAAAATGGTTTAGTATGATTTTTATTAGTTTTATTTGAATTGTTTGATTTTTTGATTGCTTGTATTAACTACTTTGAAAACTTTAAAAAAAATCTACCAAAATAATTCGCAATTTTTCGGCTTTATTGGTTCCATCGGAAACTATATTAGTTGGCCAAATCGACTTACCTTCTGGCTAAAAGCGGCTGCCTCCCTGGCCACGCCTACCCCGTCCGCCGAGTGGGCGTGCGTCGATGGTGAGGTCGCGTAGACGAAAAGCGGCAGCGAACTAAAGTTCCGTTTGTCCTGAAAGCGGCGGCTGAAGAATAACGGTTTGTGGCATCCCGCTGCAGCGGCTAATATTGTTGTTGTTGTTGTTTTAGTAACACTAGATGTTGCAGCTTCTTCTCTGTGCGTTTTTGTTGTAGCTGCGGCTGTTGTTGTTGTTTTTGTTGTGGCTGCTGCAGTTGTTGTTGCTGTTGTGGATGTTGTTGTTTTTGTTGGGGTCGCCATTGGCGTATCGCAATTTTTTGCTTCTTCTTCGGCTTCGCTGCAAGTTGTTGGCGTTGTTGCTTGTGTTTTTGTTGTTGGCATGACTACTACAACTACTATAAATCGAATATAAATATATCGGCGGAGGCGGGGGCGGTGCTGTGGGCGTGTCCCTGCAGCTGCTGGCGTCCTTTATTGTTGTTGTTCTTGTTGTTGTGGTTATTTAGAGCCTTGGCATTATCCTCCTCCATTTTTTGGTTAATAAAAAGTCCGCAGAGAATACCGCTCGCCAAAAAACTAGTAGCACTTGCACATTATCGCGTTATTTTAGGCTTCTTTGTTTTTTTGCAAAAAATAAAGTAAGAATTCTTGGCCAAACAAAAGTGTGAGTTCTGTGTAAAAATGCACACAAAAAAAACGCACGAAGCCGATTGCGGGGGTGGGAGCGAGACGGCGATACACGAGCGAGTCAAATGGCCACAAAAATATGGTTAATAAGCCAAAAAACAAGGGAATCACTTGCACAACCCTACGGCATCGCAAATCCAATCCAAACAGCCACTTATATTAGGTAAATTACTTAATTAACAAGCACTTTTTGTTCAAAATATTTCGCAGACAGTGGTAGCAGAGATGGAACAAAAATCGATGTTCATCCGATAGTATCGATGGTTCCAGGGAGGTGGCAGCACCAATGTTTTTGTCATGCCCTGTAAAGGGCTGTTCACACTGACACCTTTTCGCATCATTAAAATAGCAATTGATTACTTTCAAATAAAATTCTTTTTCGAATATGAATATGAAGATCCAAATACGCATTTTTCTGAAAACGGTCAATAGCTAATCCCAATTGGCGTTTTTTAAAAATGCTTGGATTTAATGCCCGGTTGACGAACGGTCATACTTGGCCGCCATGATGTGCTTTGGGCAGTGTTGGAAAGTCCGCCGTTGAGCCCCCTTGCCAGATCAGCGGACTTAGAAAATTCAAATTTAAAAATAACGCTTTGACAATTATGCAACCCAGTAGCTAGTCGGAGATATTTCACTAGCCCGGATCAGCAGCAGATCAAAATTGCCCAGTAAAAACATTCCGGCAGCCAGCAACACGTTGTGTGCTAACAAATCTACAAACAAATTAATACGTTTTGCGCGCACGCACCACCGAAAAGAGCTAGGGCGAGAAGACAGGACACCTCCGCGCTGCCGGTTTCGTATCCCCCTGACCTGCAAATCCAATTAAAGTGAGTTGTGGACGAGAGTTTTGGCGTTAATCGCACAGATAATAATTAATTGATTTCCCCCACCAAAGGCGTTGCCACCTAATCGATCTGGCCACCCCACATGAGAGGGAGACATATGCGCCGCTGATGCCCGTCTAGCTGGACTGCTCTATTGGACTGCCGTTTTGCAACACCGCCACCAGACACGCACACCACCCGTCTCGCTCGCACGCCCGCCCTGCCAACGGGACAGCCACTCGCTGCGGTCAATCACATCCGGTCGTCCCGCTCGCACGCGCGCTCGCAAGGCCCCGCATTGATTGGGAAAAAATAATCATCGCCGTAGTCTTCGTCGGGTCGGTCGTTTATACTCGCAGTGCGCTGGTGCTGCTTTATTTCGAGACAAGGGACACAACCGAGAGAGCCATATTTAAGCATCAAAGTTCTGGGGCGCAACGCAGCTTTTGTGTTTCGTTTTCGTTCCATTCTAAGCGAGCAGGAGATTTGTTGAAAACCCCAATTCTGTGCGAAGAACAAAAGAAATACGCGAGACACCAACACCAGCAAACAACCATCCAACCAAACACACACACACACCACCCAGAAAATCAAATTTCAATCAGAAAATGGCGTTAAAAAGAATCAATAAGGTATGTGAAAAAAATAACGAAAAGCTCTGCAAAACGGGTTAAAAAACTGAACTCTTTGGGCAAAACCCAGTTAAAAGTAGGGAAAATGTGAGCAGACACGAATTGGTTCGGGAGAAAAATTTTATGCAAGAAATGTGAAACGTAGGTACTCGACGAAAAGTAGAAGCAAGGCAAGGCGGAAAGAAAGAACGAACGAGAGAAGCGTGCGAGAGGCAGGGGAGGAAAAAAGCTGGCGTTACCTTAATTAATAAGTTTCTAATTAGAAGGAGATTAGGAATTTTAGGGTGGTGAAAAAGGGCTAAGGACGTGTGCGTGTGGTGGGCAAGGCAACGTGTGGTGCAGTCATCGTTTCCGTTACTTCTGCGAGAGTGTGTGTGTTTGTCTGTGCGATGCGTGCGTGTGCCGTGCGTGAAAGTGCAATGCAAATGTGGCTTGTTTGTGTGCGTGAGTGTGCCGGGCACCTGGATGCATTTGCATTAATGCAACTATACGGCGGAGTTTTCGCAGCTCTACGGGCGCTGTTACCCAATACACGCTGTACACGGCGCTCGCACACACTCGCAATCCCACCTCACACACACACACTTGCAAACGCACACACTGCCAGCGCCGCAGAAAGATCCAGCAAAAAATAAAACAGAGCAAAAGCAAGAAGCGTATAAAATTAACCTAACCCTACTTTTTGCGCTGATAATTCAGAAATAGTGTTGCCCCAAGTATATATATAAATATATATGTACATAGGTGGAGTGGCCCAAGTGTGCGTGCTTCGATAATTATTTTTAAAGTGCCTGCGCCGTCGTTTGTCCTTGTCCGGTAATGCCCTTCTACCCCTCATTCTGTCTGGAAATATTATGTTCGGGGGCCCAACATCGCTTTGTTGAAACTTCTTGAAAAACATTAGTAATATCTTGTAGTTGTGTGGAAATTTTACTTGGCGAATTGGGATCTTTTTTTTAAGTTTGCAGCCGGTTATCATAGTCATACCCCCACCAACACAGGCAAATACAAAGTCTCGCCATCACTTGGCTCGCCATTGCATGCCGTCTCGCTCTGGCCTTGGCACCTTCCCTTTGCAGGCGACAGCTGAGGCCGCTCTCTGTCCCGCTCTCGCAATGGGGCAGAGCCAAAGAGAGCGCAAGTGTGTGCGTGCTGGGTTCAGTGTTGCAAAACACTCGCCAGCCAAAAGGGGCCCCCCAAATAATTAGTTATAAATTATAATTAAGCATAATTTAAATACGAAATGAGCGGTGAATGCGGAATTTGTACATTACCTTTGTGAGCGTGAGAATAACGTAAAATACACGCGTGTGTAATTCTGTGTTCTTGTGTGGGGGGGTCTGCTGACTGTCTCGACGTCGCAGTCGCCATAAAAGCAGCGCAGCCGGCATCGCGTCATGGCCATTGAGTTTTCCTCGTTTTTCGTAGTTTTTCCTCTATTATAAACTTTTAATTCCTGCCTAAACGAAAACGAAATGGCCAAACCGGAAATAAAAGTATATTTTCCAGTAAAAACTTGGCAAATCACGCACGCCCCCTTTTTGGGGCCAATTCTTCAAGGCTTTTTTTAGTTGGCCTCATTTGCCAAAAAAGAGAGTTATAGAGCGAGAGAGAATAGTCGGCTTAAATGCGGATCAAGCTCTCTCGGAAGGTGCACTGGAAAAAATCTGTTTAACATTTAAAGGAAATAATTGGATTAACGTAAAAGCCACAATAAAGGCCATAAGTAAAAAATATCTCGATTTAGTGACTCATATTTTTTCTATTAAAATTAATACAGATTTGATCACAAGAAGTCTAATTTAAATGACTCAAAAATATACATACATTAGTCATTTCTATATTAAACTTCACGTTTAAAATTGTATTTGTAATATCGAAATTTCTCTCTGTGTACAAGCGTGCGTGATTGTTTTTGTTTTCACTTTATTTGGTTTGGCTTTTATGAGTCATAAGCACTCTGTGACTCCAACCGAAAAAATGAAATGTAACAATTTCTTGTAATTTATTTTTGCTCAACAGGTACAATTTTCGGAGTGAGTGAGTGAGATGGGGCGTTTTTTCTTTTCGCGACGGCTATTTTTGTTGTGTTCAACTCAAATTTTGGGGTGCCGTTACAAACACAAGCACACATAAGAAGTTTTAGCTGCTCACTCTTCTTTCTCCTGCTCCCCTTTTCACTTCACCCCTGAGCCACGCTCTTCTTTCGCAGCTCATCTTCATTATTCTTTTTTTATATATACATTCTTTTTTTTGCCGGTTTACCTTACACCTCATTCTCTCTCCTCTTTTTGTGCCAGTGTGTGTGTGGGGCAGCTGTGATAACTGAAGAAGAGTCAGGACTGAGAGAGAAGGGGGAGCCGCTCAGCTGTGTGCGTGCGAGTGCAACAGAGATGGAGCGAGTGGGCAGGGGTTGGGGCAGAGGGAGACAGCGCCATTTGTGGTCCGGGCCAACGAACTTGATTTTTCACGTCTCTCCCTCTCGCTTGCTCTCGCTTTGAACGCAACTCTCGCATAAAAGTGTTTATTTTGTATCCCCCATATTTCTGTTTTTAAATTCTGCATTTTAAATTTACATCATTTGCATGCCAACCACACAAATGTACGCACCCTAGGAAGCACAGTAGATATCGGTGCATTATAGACCAAAACAAAAGAACAAACGACAACCGGAAGACATTAGCGATAGCCATGAAATTCACTTTTTGACTATGTATTTTCCACTCGGAAAACGGTTTTGGGTGTTCCTGTTACAACCACTAAATGACGTTCAAAACAGGACTGTTAAAATTTTATAAAGATCCCTAGTAACCTGACTTTTTTTTATTTATTTAAAGATAGATTTTACTATGTGTTTTCACATTCTAAAGCGAATAATGTATAATAATAAAATATTTCAATTACTAATCTATGAATACAATTACTAATCTATGAATATTTCTTTTGTTTAATAGGAACTGCAAGATCTGGGCAGAGATCCACCTGCACAATGTTCAGCCGGTCCAGTTGGAGATGATTGTAAGTATGGTTAATGTTATTCACCATTTCGAAAATTCGCCATGAGTCAGCAGTATGTTATGGGGAGCTATGAGCTAAGTTTTGATTTCACCATATCTTGTGGGAGCTAAAAAAGCGAAAAAATATGGGAATTATTTTTGAGTGGCCAAGTTTACGTCAATTTTTGTTTTGCTCTGTAGAGAGTTCAAAAAAGGGTTTGCATCCCTAAGTCGCTAATCAAAAATTCACATATTGTCGATCTCCACGTCATTTCAATCGTGACTAGGCATTTGTACACCTATTTGCGGCTACGCAAGCTAAGCCTATGCTAATTTGGGATTCTTTTACACCGAGTTTGGATTCAGTTCTTTATATTGTGATAGCGACGGCCTCCAAACAGCTGATCGCCATGACTTGGTTCTGGTTTCAGAGCTTGTTGTTCTTTTTTCGCTGTCTTGGACTCAATTCAAAAACTGACGATGCCGACATGCAATTAGTCAACAAATTCACACTGGTTTTGGATCGCATTCAGTTACGTTATAACACGTAGAGTGATACTGAATACAAACAACCGTTACTGAAAAGCCTTCAAAGAAAAAGAGGTGTCAACCATATGGGGGTCACTCTCCAATGACGTCACCTAAAAGTGAAATCGTGCAATTACATAGTCTTATTGAAGTCGATTTCTGTTAAAAAAAGAGCTCGATATACTTTGCTGAAAATTAAATGTTATAAGAAAGAGGAAATTACCGAGTATGTTTATTTAAAAACCCCAAATTTTACTATATTTCTTATTTACTTCCATAACTTAATGGGGGAACTGGATAGAAATGCATTTTGTATTTTCTGCAACGCCGTTGAAAAGCTTTTCTGAATCACGTATTACATTTGTGTAAATGAAAATCTTCTTAAGAAACGACGAAATGCTGAAAACCTATATTTGTTATACTAAAGCATTTTCCATGGCATTTTTCTTTGTGTTTCATTTCCCTGTTTCTCTGCTCGCGAGGAAATTGAACTCATTCAAGTTCCCCGTCAGGCAGTGAATAATGCTAATTGTCATCGTTTGTTGATAATTGCGGGTAGTCAAGCGATTTCACTCGATTTCTATTATCAGTAATCGTCTATAAGTTGTGTGAACATATACATATATAAACGAAAATGTTTGTATATATCTATACTTAGGTGCAAATTCGACTGAACTGTTTCCGCAGTCGTTATCATTGTGCCTGCATTATCATTCGGCAGTTTCAAACCCTTCTCCAAAAGTTCCGAGTATCTGGAGTAAAAAACGGGAATTGCAGCAAAGGGCGGGGCCTATTTTGGATTTGTGGGTGTTGGTTGGGTGGCGAATTTTCCCTCGAGTGCAATGACAACTCCCCAGCATATTTCGCTCAGTGTGGGGTTTTCTTTCCATTCGTGTAAGTGGAATTAATCCATTGAAATCGTAGTACGGCAAAAGAAACCTTATGATTTAATCATGTATTTAAAATGAAATTGATTGAATGCTTTTGAGCTAAGCTACCGAGGAGAGATTAAACATAGTTAGTAATGACAGCTTAACATTCCATTTAATTAAGTCGTCGTTTAAAAAAAAAGGGAGTAATAAATTAATTTTATATATCATATCAAGTATATTTGCATTGGTTTTATTTATTATTTCGATAGCTCCCTTCAGGATTTTTATCTGTTAGCAATGCCCAGAATTTATTGATTATTGTTTAAGTGGCAATATCGTCATGGCTGCAGCTATGAGACTACTTTAGTCTGAGCCTGAGCTATGGCAAATACAATGCCGTCGCAATCCCCGCACTCAAACTCCACACTGCAAATGGACAAATGAACATTTCGTGTAATTATGGTCAAGGCAGCAGCTGGTTACCGGGGGCCCAGTTCCCAGTTCTCAGTTCTCAGCCAAACAGAGAGGGTTTCCCCAATCGTATTCGTTTAGTTCCCCAGGATGACATTGACGGCATAGCCAGTAGCTCTGTTTTGGCCATGGTTTTGAGCCAGCTGCCACACGTTCCGTGCTCTCTCTTCATACAATTTGCTCAAAGAGTACAAGGGTATTTATACGCTAGTTTTGTGGGTTAAAAGAGTATATAGAATTTAAGGTACAAATTATAGTACAAAAATTAAATTAAATTGGAATTATAAAAGAAAAAGTCATAAAGGATACATTTCAAACTTTAAAAGATAATATATTTTAGATATTTTGCATAATAATATTTATACCCAATATATTTTGAATATTAATAGCGTAGTTAAGGGAATGCTATCTTAGAAATACCATTTGTTTTTTAAATATTTTTGAAAGTCACTTTGATTACAGGGTATCTTCCTAATGATATTCTCTATATAAACGTTTTGGTTTTTGTTTCAAGGGAGAGAGTCATTTGGTGCTTTTTCTGCTGCTGACGTCGCTGCCAATTGTCGGTGCCAAGGCTCTTTGGCTGGCATTGTTTGTGTTTGTTCTTTTGTGGAGGAATCGCCAAAGAGCGTGGCCATGAGAAAGGAAGTGGTGGGGTGGTGGGAGATACTGAGAGAGTGGTGCAGTTATTTAGATGAGAGCGAGTTTGCTGCATTGAATGCACATACAGTGAGGCCTAGAACCGTGGAAATAAGAGATTGAATTTCGTTAAGAAGCAATTTAAACGTTTTTTAGATGTATCGTTGAATAGTTTTGAGTTGAGAGTTTAGTGCCTTTAGGAATAAATATATTTCCTGATACTTACTATGCACAATTTTTAGTAGCCAAGTCAAGGGTACTCAACATTTTCCAGTACGTGCTGTTACTGTACACACAATTATTCAGCTCCAGGGCAGATTTAGGACTCAATGCAAATCAGAGCAAACAAAAAACGTTTTACTGCAGATGCATTTTTTGTTTGCTCTCTAGGGTTCTATCTCATTATCTTAACTGCGTTCTTACAAATGTTTGATTAATGTATTTCTTTTTCTTTGCAGTATTTCACTGGCAAGCTACAATAATGGGCCCGGTAAGAGGAATATAAGATCAGCTGGATGAGTGATCAAAATCGAGCTATCAATTGATCTGATTTAGAGCCCAAATTATTTTGGTTGATTTATTTGCATTTTGGTTACGGATTGGAGTTCAGTTTTCATAATAGCAGAATAAAAGATCACATAATAACATTTAAAAATGTATAAATAGATTTTAATGTAGTAACGAGGGTGTACTTTATTATTATTTAGCTGTGTAAATTGTGTAAAAAAGTTACGCCAGGTGATAAGCAGGATGATTAGACTGAATAGATAACTTCTTATAGCAGATTTGTAATCTTTTAGTAAAATAGAACACCACTATAAAATGTAATTGACTTTTGTTTACAGAACAATCAATTTTAATATATTTTGTTGTAGGAAATTGTTATTAAATCTTGTAAAAAAGATCAAGATCATTCGTTTACAAAATAGTTATTATTCGCATCTATGAACTGAGCCAATCCGCTTTTACCAAAGAGTAAATCAACAGCAAATAAATTTGACATTAAATATCAACTAATGGACGTTATTTCATTTTTCTTACAGCCGGACAGCCCTTACCAAGGAGGTGTATTCTTCTTAACTATACATTTTCCAACAGACTATCCCTTTAAACCACCCAAAGTGGCTTTTACAACGCGCATATACCATCCAAACATCAACAGCAATGGATCGATTTGTCTCGATATTTTAAGATCTCAGTGGTCGCCAGCATTAACTATTTCAAAAGGTGAGTGTTCCATGAGCTTTGAAATGAAAACGATTCTAATATTTGTTCTTTTCTCTTGCAGTCTTATTATCAATTTGCTCTCTACTCTGTGATCCCAATCCAGACGATCCTCTTGTTCCAGAGATTGCCAGAATATATAAAACCGATCGGGAAAAATACAATGAGCTGGCACGAGAGTGGACTAGAAAGTATGCTATGTGATGCGTTCCAGATTGCAGCAGTCCAACAGAATCAGCAAATTCAACATCAACAACAGCAGCAGTAAAGGCAGATGCAAATGCAGATGCATCAGCAACAGCAGAAGCAACAACAACAGTAAAAGCAACAGCAACAGCAACAAAGATAACATCAACAGTTTACAATAGTCAGAATCAGAAGAAGAGGAGCTGCAGCCGCGGCATTGTTAATGGCAATGGCCGCCGTGCGGTTGACCACAACAATAACCACAATATCAGCAGGAACTGCGGCCACAGCAGCAGCAACCACAACACCAACAATCGCCACAGCAACATCAGCAACAGCAACTGCAGCAGCAACATTAAGAACAGCAACTGCAACTGCAGCAACAAGATCAGCAGCGGCCGCCGTCAACTTCGTCGCTGCTGTCGCTGCCACCGCCTCCGCAGCGGCATTAGCATTAGGAACAGCAACATTGGCAGCGGCAAACGCCAGCGGAACGGAGGCCTTGCAGCAGCAGCAACTGGAGCAACAACTGGCAGATTGGTGGCGGACTGGGAATAAATGTGTTTTGACCGAACAGAAACAGAACAGCATAAACGGAAATAATTTAATAATAATTACTGAAAAAATTATGTAAGCATTAAACATTAAAAGCTAGACAGCTACCAACAACAGCATCAACATAATAAGTTTAAATACAAAGAAAAACAAAACTACAAATAAAAATCAGCTGGAAAAATTATTATTATTATTATATTATATTTAAAGAACCGGAAAAATAAAAATTGCAAAAATTCAATTTAACATCAAGCGCGCCAAAGTGAAGAAAGCCTTTAGCCGAAATCGCTTTCTATCACTATAAATGTTTGAAATCAATGAGGTTTGAAAATTACTTTTGTTGTCTTTAATTTGTTAAGATATTTCTAAATGTAGTTTTCTTCAAATTTCTTAAACATTTTCTTGTTTTTCTTCAACTTTTGTGAAGCTGTCTTAAATTTTGTAATTCCCCAAGAAATTATTTTAAAATATTGGATTTAGTTTGACACCTTTTGTAAATGGTTTATGTTATTTTTCCTACATTTGAGTTTGCCAATTACTAAATAGATGCTGCTGCATTTGGTTTCACATTTGTATTTTGATTTTGTTATCAATGCCTATAAACTTGATACTCCACTCTTGTCTTGTCTTAGTCCTAAACTGAAAGTCAGCGGTTATTCAGCTTTTTTGAATAATTAGCACGTTGTAAAGATCTGGATGGGTTTGTTGATAATTTTTATTAGGCCATCTGGCAGCAAGTCTAATTTTGATAATTATTCTCAGTGTATAACTTTTTAATTGGACAACATCATTTGGACTTTGAAATGGGTTGCTGTGAGCTTTTGTTGTGAATATACAGCTATCTTATGGCCACGACAATGCCAAGTGACAGCTTTCTTAGGTCAATAATTACACTTTTTAATGGTTTTCGTTTAATGATGTTCTCAAGTCAAGGAAATTTATAAACTCGGTCAATGCGAAGGGCATTTTCAAAGAGAGCTTAAAGCGAAGGAAAAGGTAGCTATAAATATTCAAAGAGTGCTGATATAAAATTGAGAAATTATTCACGGTTACCATGGAAAAAATAAAAATATTCAGCGAGCGTTGGCGAATAATGTGGTGAAGAGTGGTGGAAAGGCAATGGAAATATTCCGCAAACGTTTGATGGAACAAAATTAGGAAAAACAAAAATTGAATTTAATAGACCCTTTTAGTTCAGTGGAAAATCATGCAAAATGATCTACCAAAAGTGATCACGGAGCCGCAGATTTATAAGATACCATTTTAAAGAGCAATGACAAATGAAATTTAAATATTCAGGAAGCGCTTTTGAAGTTCCAGTGTAAAATCTCCGATGGCGGCAACGGCCACAGCATGCTAAATTAGCATTTAATCAATTCAAATACAAAGTAAAAAAGAAACATGCTCGCGCGCCAAAGCTTCGTTTCGTGGAGCTTTTGCGAGATCAGTCTTTTAAGAGCCCCACATTCTTCTCTTTGTAGCGAACTCTCTTTCTTCCACGGCAAATATTACACTCGAGGTCTGTGAAAATTTTCAGTTGATATTTTTGCCGCGTCGCGAGAACTTCTCAGCTCGAAGTGAAATTCCGATTTCTATTCCGTGTGTGGCCAAGTTAAACTAAAGTAAATCAAAATCAATTGAAGGTTATCTGGACCCTTAGAAATGGCAATTAACAACTGCATTTGTTGGGACACGTGCTGAGAAAGCTGCCTGCGGGCGATTGACCTGGAACACTTTTAGAAATTTTGGTTATGCAAACGGTTTTGTGAGAGAAATGTGTGCTATAAAAGAAATAAACTCAAAATTGCAGTCGTGGAAACAAATGTTTCTTGCTAAGCACACAGGAAACAATTTTATGGCTCAATTAAAATCGAAAATGAATGCATAATCTTAAATTTTAATCTTTGTTTTCCGATTTTTATAAGAAATCATATTCAATATACATATATTTATTAAGTGATCCTAAATAATACTATTAATAGTTGTTTATCCTTTATTCTTATCTTCATTTCTCTTAATATGAGGATTAGTCCCTGACAACAGAGCTGGACTTATTACAGTTGCCCACTTTTGAGACCTTTTTAAGAAAAGGTTTTCATCCAGCTACAATCAGTTCAACTTTGAAGAAAGTTCAAGCGATAAAGAGTGAAAAACAGAGAGGCTACAGAGAGAGAAGCTCGCTGTCTTTGTTGTCTTCAACATGGCAACACGCTCCCCACTTGGCACCATTCAAGTTGTCTTTTGTTTAGAAGCTCGACTCGATTTTCGCACTCTTCTGCGAAATGGGGAGGGGGTGGATAACATGCCGGTCTCCAACTGGCGATCACAGTTTAAATATTTACCCGGACACACGATCTCTAACCGAGCTGAATTTCTGTAAATTTCATCAGGCTTCCAAGTCGCCATGAGTCCCCGTCCCCGAGAGGTCCTTGAGGAAACAGAACTATCGGTGGAATCGTCCACCTGCTACTTACGAAAATCTGGAAAGGATTCTGCGGACAACTGTTGGGTAAGTGGACAAAATTCGCGAGCTTAAAGAAAATCGCTTATCTGTAATAACAATAATGGGCAAAGTTTACAAGGGAGTGGGCCTGCATTATAGGGGGTTTAAGTGTGCCAGCAAGTGTTTTATACTTTTTTAGTACTTACTTAATTAACCCGGAAACTGCAGGGCTTCAAATCCGCTCCTGTTCTCAAAGTCTCTTAACGGCACGTGCATCGCATCGCATTCAATCACAGCTGTCAGGCCCCAAAATGTGAGGTGTATGGCCCTCCGAAAAGCTGAACCAAGAGCTCAGAAATATAACCTTACACAAAAGTGGCAGAGTGCGCGATTTTCGCCATTGCCCCAGGGCTATAGCCACTAGATCTCCACAAATGGAGCCAAGGTCAAGTCGGTATTATTATTTGTAACCGATTAGAGCTTGCCACACCGATATCTTGTTATGCATTATGTTTACACACATGCCCATGGGCCTTGCGAAAGTCCCCACGCGGAATTCCTGAACTTCGACGAAAGCTGAAACTGGTTTTCTGGGCTCGATTTTCAGTTTTCGGTTTTTATTTATGTCTCCCGTCGTCAGCGATAAAAACACATCATGCATCCGTCTGTATTGAGATCATGTAAACAATTAATGCGAGTTGGAGAGAAAAGCCCGAGCTTTCAAAATTGTGCAATTTTTGTTTATAAAAGGGTTCTCAATGTGCGATCAATCATAAAGTCGATTGGTTATATAATAAGGGGGCTTGTCTTCATCAAACAAAAACGCAGTTTTCCCAAAAATGGTTATTTAAAAAATTCATAATAAATAGGAAATATTTTGAGTTTGATAAACACAGTTTTTAAATGGTAAAATATTATATGTTAATTTTTGTATTGGTTCAGAAACGATTTATTGATGAAAAATGAATAAAGATCTATAGATTTTCTTGAGTGTAGTCGATAATCAACCTGACTTGACCAAAACAGGCTGCTTGCACAAGAAGCGAAAGCTCATCAGCCACGAAATTTCGCATAATTTCAGCATAACCGCCTGCTGAAAAATCTTAAAAAGACCTCTCTCTAGTGAAAAGATTGCTCAGCATTTTTGACTCAATAAAAACAGCCTCTCGGCGGCTGCAAAACTATAGAAAGCTTTTCCACAAGCTTTTTTGATTCACATCATTGGCCACATTGGATATCGGGAGGTTTTCAGTTGCCAGCTAGTTGGCAATAGCAACGGTTTACTTATTTCCGCGCTCAGTTGAAAAACTCCTCAAGGAGTCGCGAAACACTTGGAAAACACTGTTTTGAAATGCCCATTTTGGTGTATTTTGTGTGTTGAAATAAAATATTTTTATGCGAAAAAAATAAGGGAAAATAAAAACATAAAGAAAACAGACATTATAGCATAAAGTTCCAACGATTTTTACTTGGTGAAAAAAATTACAAAAATGGAAACTACAATTGTTACTACAACAACAACCGAATTGAAATGCATTATACGAGGCAACAAAAAGAAAGATGTAAGCTGGGTTCCAAACTCTAAATTTCTACTGTGTGTATTGCGACAAACTAAACAAATGGCTAAACTACGTCAATGGATAAATGAATGTAACATCCTGTTTATCGATGGCATTCCATTATATTTTCTATTTGCCCACAATTACTACGTTTGTTTGCTAGAATCTGGAATATTTTCGTATTTGTTCGAAAATATTTAACAAGTTACAATGTCAAGTGTCACGCTTGTGTAAATTTCTGTAGGAAATTCACTTTTTCTTAGGGCTGTAATTTTTGAGTTTTAGTGATAAAATATGGTTTACATTCACATTAATATTCAGTCAAAATTTTAACAAGATGTATTCATGGGTCTAATATTTTTAAGATTATACATAGATACTTTAAGTTGTAAACTATTTTTTAACCTTCTAAAATAGATTTAAAACTAATTTTTTTTCCTAAAAAAAATGTGTTGTTTAAATTTATCCTACACGCCTTGCTATTGAATAAATATTTTATTGTTGAGAAAAGCAATTACATAAACAAATTCATTTCAATTTTAGCAGATAGTCAATGGGAAAACACTCAATATTATTATTATTTGCAAATAGGTAGCGAAAGATATTCTCTTTAACCTTTTAGTGACTCTTGCACCGAGTGTTAAGTGTTTGTAAAATCTATTCAAAGTAGTTACAATTTAGCATTGCACTATGTTGAATATTTTACATTTTAACAAAGTTGCATCGAATTGGGGGTATATTAGGTTAAATAAAGAAATACAAAAATATGGTTTATCGTAAAAATGAAACAAACATTTTAGGTATTAATGAAACTATATTTTATCCTATTAAATGCATTTATGGGCTCAAGTGCAAATGCTATCCAAACACGGAACGCAAAAAATGCATAACAATTTGTAAACACAACGTCATCGAATTGAATAAGATACTTGCTTTTGCACTTGCACTTGCCCTCCCACACATATCGTTGTTGTTGTTTTTATTGTTATGCATTAGATTTAGAAGCTGGATAAACAAATTAAAGTCAAGCCCCCTTTTGCTGTTGTTGTTGCTGTTTGTTTATGGGGTTATTAGTGATGTTGTTATTATTGCATTATTGCAATGCTCGATTGTTTACACGCGAAACCGAAAAACGAAAGCCCCAGAGAAAAACAACAGCAACAACTGAAATATCAGGAACCGCAGAAAAGATAATAATAAAATCAGCAAACAAATCAATTTTCGACTGCAGTTGCTGTTGTCTAAAAATATATAATGCCGAAAACCGCCAGTTGGCAACGTCTGTTTATAAGGCGGAAGAATAAATCCGTTCTTGTCCTCAATTCAAATTAGTTTTTGAGTTGCCTAATCGCTAATTGATAAGGTTTCCTTTTTAACCTCTTCTCTTTTTCAGATCGATGGTCAACTGGTTACGGACTCTTCGGACGCATCGCATCAATTTCCGTCCGACGAGGAGCCCAATATTCTGGGGCATGGACCCAACTATGACGAGAAGTTGTCCAAATTCAAATGGCTCTGCAATTTCGATGATGTGAGTTAACCCACACGATCTTGGGGGTCAATTTGGCGGCAATTGTCGCGCACTCAGAATTTTAATTGATCGCAAATTGTATTTGGCGAATTGACAAAAAGCCACAATCAGGGACAAATGCGAGTTCAAGCCATCGCGAATTTATATCAAATGTTTTTCTGTTTTTCATCGATTTACATGGCGTTTTAACTCTGACTTTTGGCTTATTGTTATCGTCATATGACCAAAGACCAAAGCGATCGCTCGTTGTAAAATGGCCAAAACGCCGAAATATGTGAAATCCGCCATGGCGGTCGAGTTGGCAGCAATTGCTAAATAATACAATTAGACAACAAACAAACCCACCAAATGCCAACTGAATCAAGGTCGCGACCAGCAACAAATAAAAAGCTCTTAGGCAGCGGGTATTTAATATTTAAATAGCGCTGGCAAATAAAAAGAAGCCACTGTTTTGGAGGTGTATACTGTTGTATGTTACATGTCTGTGAAAATCCCCAAGTCATCGAATTTCTGGGATTTTTTGGAGCCCTACTGGTAAAAAGCTCTCGAAACAATTCCATTTATTTTGAACAAGTTCCCAAGCAATTTTAAACCAGACTTAAAGTGGGCTTGAAAATATAATTGCTTCCGATTCAAAGTCATAAATACGATTTAATTTGGTATTATTATTATACTTTTTACAAGTGTATGTTACCTACAAATGTTAATCTCATTTATAAAATAAAAAATTAAAAAAATTTTTTTTTCCCAAATGCCTCACCTAGTCTTTTTTACATTTAAAACATTTCTCTACAAGATTCCTAACTAGAAAAATTGGATTAATTAGTTTTATTTATTTTTAATTGAACAAAATGAAAAGCTTTTTCGACTTTGATTGGGCGGGATGCCAGAGCCAAAAGGTTTCCTCCATTTGTTTTAACGTTTCTATTTTTTGTGCTTTTCTTTGTTTTATTTTCAATGCTGCGCATTCGATTTGCATGTCTTATCGGCTTGGAAAAATTCGTATTTATTTGGAATGTTTATTCAATTGTGTTTGGTTTATTTTTCGATGCAGGCCCCCAGTCACTTGAAGTTCAACCCTTATATCCGCCGAGGTTACCGCACATTCCTATCCAACAAGCTGTGCTTGCAGAGCATTTTTTGGTGGACCAATGAGACGGTAAGATACTATATTAATTCTGTCTATCTTAATGTTAAGTAAAATTTAGATCCTAGAACCTGATAGATATTTTTTAGATTTTAATTAAAGTTTTTTCTTTTTATAGATCAATATCTGGAGCCATTTGGCCGGGTGTATCCTGTTCATTGGCTTGACGATCTTCGACCTTCAATTCCTGCGCCTCCACGCCTCCTTGAGCGACCAGATCCTGGTGGTCTGTCTGCTGGTTTGCTTCTGCCTCTGCATGCTGATGTCCGCCATATACCACATATTCTCCTGCAAATCGGAGGAGCATTATGAGTTATTCCTATCCGTGGACTTCCTGGGCATCTCGCTGTCGCTGGTGGCCATCTATATCAGTGGAATGTACTACGCCTTCTGGTGCCACACCTTCCTGCGCACCCTGTACTCCACGATTGCCCTGGGCATGTTCGCCCTGGCCATTGCCGTGCAGATTCCCCGGCTGAATGTGTCCATGAACGCCAAGGTGTCGGTGCTGCTGCTGTGGTCCGCCTACGGGATTATTCCGCTGGGCCACTGGGCGGTGGCCATGGGCGGCCTGGAGAACGAGCTAGTCAGGGTAGGTACCATAAAAAATAATAAAATAATCAAAAATTCGGATTAGAAAAAAATTTCAAAAATCTGCTTTCACAAAAAAAAAATGATTTGACAAAATATAACTTTTTTCATTGAAACATTTTCAATTCGAATTCATCTTTTATTTTATGAATACAAGATTTTATAAAATTTTGAACAAAAAAACTATTTATTTATTTAATTTAAAATAACAATTTCCGTTTTTAATAGAAATCTTGAAAGGCGAACTGAATGTATTCTAACTCTTTTCAAAATACGACTTTTTAAGACTTCATGTATTTCGAAAAAAAGCTTTTATTTATATTTATGATTTTAAAATGTTTTTTTGGGACTTAAAAAGGTATTTAAAAAGGCTGACTAAATTTCTTAGAACTCTTATTTATTAAATCCACTTTTTTTAATCAATGAATTATTCAACCTTTGCAGCTGATGGTGCCCCGTATCGTGGTAATGTACTTGCTCTGCCTCGTCGCCTTCGTTTTCTACGCGGCCAAAATCCCGGAGCGCTGGTTCACCGGCAAGGTGGACTTTGTGGGACACTCGCACAACTGGTGGCACCTGATCATTGTGGCGGCCTTCTACCACTGGCACAACACCGGACTGGTCTATGCCGAATATCGCCTGAATAACGGCTGCAGTGCCCCCGTTCTCGCCTGAGATTTGAGATCGTAAATCCAAGATCCGAGGAGCGGAAATGGCAGCGAAAACGGAAATGGGACTCTAGTAGACTCTAGCCTAGTGTAAATAGTTTATGGGGCGCGCTTTATCCGCTAATAACTAATATTTAGTTGTAGTTGTTGACCGATATGATTAATTTATGTGTAACTTACCGATTAGTTAGGGTTTCGTGTTATGTTAGTCAATCCAAAGAGTTGGCTTCGCACGAGCGGAATGATGGTTTCTCTCTTTACTTCCTAATTCATTTCATTTTAAAATACAATGTCTTTGAAATTGCATGTGTCTTGAGCTGAAGCTGTGTTAGTCTTGTTGACTCGATTTTTACAAATACTTTAAATGCAAATATAATATGAAAAGTACAAAACAAGTTGAGCTGATGTATTTATTGCTATTATCGCTATTCAGTTTGGATTTGACTTAGTTGGTTTTCGTCTTATCTGTAATTACACTTGATCATAGAACATTTGTGAATTTTAAATTTTTAGATTTTTTACAACTTAACGACTGTTAAGTTAACAGTGGTAGTTAGCGAATACACCACATTAGCTTAGCAAAGACATCCATCTGTCGATGATGTCGATAGTTTCGCTACCGAGTCACAAATGGTAACCCTAGTTTTGTTTGGAAATGTAGTAGATGGCGTGTTAAAACGCTATGTTAGCCAAGATTTTGGGATTGTGAAACAATATTGTTTTTAGAAGGGTTTATATTAAGGTTTTAATTGATATTTTATCACCACCTTGAGATCCAAAACATATCAAAAATTTCTAGATGGCGTGTTAGATCTAACATTCCAGTGATCCGAACACCCCGAAGTTATCAATAGCTTTCAATAAAAAGTAAGAGTCTCGGCTAAGAATTCCACTGGATCTTAGGGGAGTATTCTTTGAGACTTGTTAGTTATTACTCTCTGAGTTAATGACGGAGATGGGTTACGTATAACTGCCACTTACTTTTGCTTACGTTTTGACGCTTACGTTTTGACACTTACGTTTCTTGGTGATGGGACAAAAACATCGATGTTTCTAGAAAATTGTAACATCGATGTTTCTATGTTTTCATCGATGTTTCCATGTTTCGCCACCTCTAACAACAACAACTTTCGGCTCTCTCTCGCTCTCCTCTCTGAGTTAATGACGGAGAGCCGGTGTTACGTATAACTTACACTTACGTATAACTGCCACTTACGTTTGCTTACGTTTTGACGCTTACGTTTCGACACTTACGTTTCCTGGTGATGGGACAAAAACATCGATTGTTGCAAAAACATCGATGTTTCTAGAAAATTTTAAAACCGATGTTTCCAACGATGTTTCTGTGTTCCCACCTCCACCAGCACCGATCCAAAACAAATCAAAAAAACTCGGACGGTTATCAAGCGCGGACTTGCGCGCTCGAGAAATTCGGAGCGGACCGAAATAAATATTTTTTTCTGAACCAAAAATCGGATTATAGCTTGACCGACAAATAGGAGCTTGATTTCTCGTTAATTAGTTTCAATTGGGCGAAAACAAAAAGGAGCCAAACGATTACAGCAACAACAGCGAGAAATGGAAAGAAGAGGCAGCAACTGAGCAGTGATCGTATGCTTGTATGCTCTATCTCCCTCTAAGTGTGTGTGTTTGTGCTGGAATGGAATGCAGTTACGAAAAAAATAAATAAATAATTGAGAGCGCCCGCGCTCCGCTCTCTCCCTGCGCGCGTGTGTGTGTGTGCCAGTGTGAGTGTCTCCATTATCGCCGGAGTAAAAGAAACGGAATGAAATGTCTTTGCTAATGTAAACAGCGCAAAGAGAAACCCCCCGAAAAAGAAGCTGAAGTAGATAGCAAAAAGCAAGAAAAAACGCGCGACGGGTGAAAATAAAACAAAAGTTTTCTCAGACTCCCAGTACACAGAGAGAAAAAACGCCCAAAATGCCGAATCTGCAACAAACCGCTTCGCAATCGCAGCACCACCTGCATCCCCACCACCTGCGGCCCCACCAGCAGCAACAACAGCAACAGCACCACAGCGATTTCCCACTTCCCGATGGCTGGGATATTGCCAAGGATTTCGACGGCAAGACCTACTACATAGACCACATCAACAAGAAGACAACCTGGTTGGACCCAAGAGATTGGTAAGTGTTCCTAAAAAAAATATACACAAATATTATTAAAATGGTAATCAAAAACATATGCCTGATCCCTTTAAATTTATCTCATAACTGGTTAAGCTTGCTAAATATTTCAAAGACTTAATCAAAGTTCCAACAAAAAATCAGTTGGAAATTTACTAATGTTAAAAAAAGACCAACTTCACTTAAACTTTTTGAAAATTCCAACCCTTTATAACCAAACAGCACTAAGTTTATAAAAAATGATGTTCAAAAATCGACAAAAAATCAATTTCTAATACATTTTAGGGCCTACACAATCTAAATTCTTAAAAATACTGACACGATTGGCTAATAAGAGTGTTTTGTGGGTCTAGTTTTAGCTCAAAATAAACTTTTTTTTACAAATTGCCCGCTTACAACAGTACTAAACTCAGGTGAGAGAGCGGCAGTTCGCTGAATCAGGAAGCTTGGGCAAACAAGCTGAAAAAACCCATATAAATTCCGATTCCGAAGCGCTCTTGAACCGGAAAGAAAAGGTGCGTGCTGCAGCTGTGTGTTGTGCGCGCTTGTGTGTGTAAAGGAATGCGATCGGTGGAGGCAACAAGAAAGAAAAAAAATAAAATAAGGCAAGAGGCAGCAGCGAAATAAATTACATATTTTAAACAAGGCAACGGCAGCAGGCAAAACAAAACGGAACGGGGAAAAAACTTGGAGTAAACATTCCGATTCGATGATTAAGACTCCAAATATAACTGAACTGAACTGAGAGTGGCAACAAACAAAAAATGAATTGTAAAGGCAAAAAGGCAAGAAAAAAAGTCAGGAAAACGAGAGAGCAAAAGTTAAATAAAGCTCGGCGAATGATCTGCAAAAAAAAGGAAAACAAAACCAACAAACTCATACGTAATGAGTGCGAGAGAGCCAGAAGAGAGCGAGCGAGAGAGCTGCGATCAGGCCATGTATCTCATAGATACATTTTAGTTTGCCGTTCGCTCACATTTTTTGTCTTGCCTCTCGCTCTTTCCCTTGCCTGTTGCCTTCTGCCCCGGTCTCCGTCTCTGTCTCTCGCTTTGCCCATAAACAATTGCAAAATGTACGTAGGAATTTTTGCAGTTTCGAAATAATTGATTTCCGAAATTCTTCGCCCTCTCGCTCAATCTTTCGATTTTTCACAGAGAAGAAAAAGTAGAGCGGTATTAAATGGATTTTATATATCAAATATTATATTTTTTAGTTATAAATATATCATATTTTATGTATTTTTATTTGTAATTATATGTAAAATCATCAGAAATGATCATAATTTCATATCTGTATTTCTTACTGAGCATTTTCATCTGTATTCGCCTTATTGTTTCAGTTCGTTTGAGGCTGTGTGCGCTTCACGCTTTCAATTAACACAAACATTCCCTTTGTTTGTTTCAAATTGCATGGACATTGTTGAAAATGTTTCACTGAATTAAGCGTTGTGGAATTTCAGCATTTCTCCCTGTCCCTCCGCTCGCCTTTGAAAATGAAACGAAACATCTGCGCATTTGCTAGGGTTATGCATCAAGTAGATTATATATGCACACATGTCGTAGGAATGTCTGCCAGTGGGCACACAAAGCAACGATCTATGTGCGTTCCGGTTTCAGGGTTATAGACATTTCGAATCTGAAGGATTTTCAGGGCTCTAATTGCGTCGTTATAATTTATGTGACCCATTTCAAGTCTTCTTCATTAATTCTTTTGATATATTAATTGTATATTTTAGAAATACAAAATATTTCTTTCTTTTCCCCTGCTTATTCAATAGTTTGCTGAATCTATTCAATACATTTCAACATGGTTTCACCATCCGCATTTAGCAAACAAAAATGTCCAAAGTTTTACTCCCTTTATTGGTATTTTGCGAGTCTCTTATGTTTTTTAACCAAAATTATTTACGCTTTTTTCGCCCCCTCTTTGGCTGTCTATCGATCGATTCGCCCCTTCCTCCAACACGCGTTTGCTATTGAATTTTAAAAATTGCTGCCGGTAGCGCGCAAAAATTCCAATAAACCATAAATAAATTTCTACAATAAAGCGAAGCGAGCCAGGCCTCGGGCGGCCTTTAAAGGCCTCGCCACGTTTCGAGCACAGCCAACAGAAATCACAGAAAAAATAAATATCTATTCCAATTCAAGTATGCAAGGTCGAATTATCGATACCCTTGAAATTCTACCGATAATTGCTTCGGCCGGCTATAGCCCATATTTTCAAAGGTTTTCTAAAATTAAACGAAAATGTGTGCAGAATTGAAAAATTTTGTTTAAAAGAGCTGAATATAGATTTAAAAAAATAGTTTAGAAAAAACACCGTTGCTTATAAAACTCTATCGATCAGGTGGGTTATTCATTTTCCTTAAAGGATTCCAAAATTTATGACGAATCCCATGGAATTTCCAATGCTTAGCGTATTTGACTTAATAAATGTTTCACTTGTTTGTACAGCATTTCGACGGGCCGGTATTTTTTGTGATTTTCGTTGCTGTTGCCTCTCTTTTGTTTTTTGTATAAACAAAAGTTAACAACGACTTGACTTGGCCATGCGATTTGGCATTTTTTCGCCGCCGTCTTCTTCTTTATTTTCTCATATTTTTTCACCAGTTTTTTCATTTTTTTGGCCAATTGTTTAGCCACAAACGAGGCGGCGACACAGTGGAATATTTTTGTGTGCGTTTTTAGACAGAAAACGTGTTTGGTGACAGTTTTTCGATCTATTCATAGGAGCTAAAAAACAAAAATAATCAAAAAAGCACAGGGAAAAAAACAAAGTATAAAATAGCAAGAAAATCGGTTGGCTACCAGTTGAGATATTGACTACTCGAACTCGTTTGTTTTACATAAACTCAAATCGCCGCCAAAAAGGCCTAGCGAAAGCGGTTAACGATCGCTGTCATAAGTCGGACAGAGTGGCGCCAGCGGCGGGGGCTGTACTTGAGTATCTGCATCCGATCGGTAGCACAAAAAATTATAATAAAAAAAGAAATAGGTGCACGGAAAGAAGCGAATGAATTTTATTTGTTTTTAATATCGAAAAAATATTTGTATACCTGTGAGATTTAATCCCTGAATCCTGTTATATATCTGTTCATAAGATGTAATAATGTTTAGATTAAATGGCCAAACTTTTTAAAAGGGAGTGACATTTCTTTCCGTGTACTCCACTCTCAACCAGATTGTGGCGTTCTAATTCCACCTGTGGCATTTTAATTCGAGAGCGGACAATCGAGCTGTTGGTTCGAT